AGTTGAGCCTCTAAGAGAGGGAACCTTCCTCACAGATACTCCGACGCATGCGAAGTCCAGGTTTTTTTCTAGGTGGTCGAGCTATTGCAATAGCCTTTTGCAATAAAAAAATTCACAAACGTTTTAAATCATTAACAATTTAATCAAAACTATATATTTAGTAAACAATCTTTAAGTTATATAAACTTCGAGTACATATCCCTGGTCAATTGTCAATCACAATTATATTTTCGTCTTGGTTTCCTTTTTTATTACATTTTTTATTACAAAAAAAATCGTTTAACAACCCATTGCATTATATTGAACCTGAAGTTTGAAAAAAAAACAATTACTTTTGATAAGTTTGGTTACAAAATTTCTCATAGATAGTAGTTTCAAGAAACTATTTGAAATAAGACAGAATCACATAATTTTAAACATAAAAGTTATTTTCTTCATGAGTTAGTCAAAGTTTCTTCTGCGACGTTTCGTGGACATGGGTTTTTTCCCATCAATTTACTGACAGAAGTATGCAAGCAAATATTGTTTCAGGACCAGTACTTCTTCATTCAGTCTATCCCAGAACACCAAACACCTTCGCACCGCTGTTGACTGGTTTTTACCTTCGTTTAGTCGCAATGCCACGTTTCTTTATCCCGCGTCTCTCGCGGAGTAGCCCATAGGACTTACTCAACCTGTGTGCTTATTACCTCTGGCTAGAATATTTCTCTCTAATGTCCCTGATTTTTTATTCTCCTTCCACAGACTCATCATATTAGTCAGTGAAAGCATTGCTAGTTTGAGCATTTTCGTCGTAGATCCTATCTCTAACCGATTGATTTTCATGATAGGGTCTTCAGGTCACAAAATGCCCCGTTTCGTTAGGTGAACTTTAGAAACGTCAATGTCAGTCGCTTTATTTTGTATGTCTTGGCGTGTGTACTATGATTTCACCACTAGACCGTTTCTCTAGATGCATTTCATTAGGCATTAGTGATTCCGGATGCTTCAATTGCTAAGGCCAATAGTTCTGTAAGTGTAGTGCACGTTTAATCACGAATGGTGACAATGACTCCGCTTACCCCGCTGGCTAGCAAGATCTGATGCCAATCTATGACGGCTTACGGGAATCTGCGTCTCTACAATATGAGAGAATAATGATAGCGCGCAGATTTGTGGGCAACATAAAAAGAAATTCGTATATGCAAAATTGGTTACCATTACATGGATTTTCTTTGCATTATACCATTCTCCAAACAGAATCTAATAAAGGTGCGCTTGAAAGGTGTAATTTTTTTGTTGATAAATGTATTGGATTACATAAAATATTTGTAGTATTTACGCCGAAACACATGACAAACTATGAAAAATATTGGATAATGTTAATTATACAACTCTCACAAAGCGTATCAAAGTACATTTAATTTAATGTGATCTCATTTTGTGCATAAAAATATTTGTTGATGAAGAAAAATGTATAGAGTAATCAAATCTATTGAGACAGATTCGAATTAAAGACTTGAGAAACGTGGTATTCGGATTTCCTTTGATAATATTTAATTGTTCGTAAAGAGGCTTCGAATCGAACCATTCCAAAACGATACGATTCTGCACCAATTTCCTCGAATCAGCTCGAAGAGGAAAGCGATTCCCGCCAGGCATAAACCGCCAGCCCATAGGAGATATGGTCCTGTCAACTGAGCTAAACGCAGTTTCTCAGGACCCTCACCTCCTCCCACAGTATTTGTGTCTCTCTTCCCATCAAGATCCAAACAGTACGCATACAAATGGTCCCACTGACTGAACAATCCTGACTGCGACAAGCGCAGGATGAGATTGTTGATGATATGGATAATAAAGTGGTTGTGGCGAACAGCATAAACCTGGAAACTTGGGGAACGAAGAGGTTCTTTGACCTTGTGCAGCATTATTCGTCCTTTCTCTGTATAACGTCTATAGTGGGAAATGACGTCAAATGTTGATTCGTCTATAACAGCAGCAGCTTTCCCTGTGTGAATTATATCTCGCACGCTGTTGTCTCTTTCCTCCGCAAGATGTATTATTATTATTTCTTGATTTGTTTGCCTGAACGTTTCTGGAAAATGGTACCGAATATCATATTTGTAGGTTGGAGTTATATATATTCGGTCAGTCGCAGCCACGGCATCATGGATGGAATTCAGCTCTTTAAAGTGTCTGGGTAAAGTAAGAAATCCCAGAAGAAGTCCCGCATAAGAACTACCAGCTAAAATGTGTAAAAAGATGACACACGTAACTGCTATTCGCTGTGATGACCAAGACGCGAGCCTTGAGGTACCCCCTGTTAGAATTATTTCCATAATATCGAGGACGGCGAACACTGTTTTGGAGATTTGAAAGCAACGATTTTGCACCAGTGTCCACGCAAGCACCAACAGAATCACCGTGGCAATAAACAAGATCCAAGTTGTCCATTCATAGGGCAACACAAGCACCAATCCGAAAGGAATGCGTGGGGCACGGCGCACCACCAGGAAATCGTCCGACTGCAAATAGAAATACACACCACAACACTCAAATCACAAAGAATCATATCTATAGAGTAGATTTCTCGAACACTTCATAAGATTCAGGAGATTCATCTAATCAAAATATAACTAACATATCAAAACAGGAGGGAAGTGGTCTAGAAAACATTTAAAATTGTTATTTTTAAACTGTAATAAGAATAGGAATATTATTAATAAAAATATCTTTCAATCTTAGATAGAACAAGAATAAAGCTGATCCTTTCCATCCCCTTAAATCTTAAACTTCTTGGCAAGTTTACCATTGGAGTTGACATATTTAAGTTCGCACCGGCGATTCCCACCACGTGATTTCTTTCTTTAAACTTAAAATATTTCTCTTCAATTCATTTGTCTCGGTCCCAATTTGCCTTTAAGCGGATTCTTTTATTAATTTAATTTCCTCTTGCATTTTCTCTGCAACATAATTCACTCATGTGGTATCTACACCATCGTCAATTATTGACTTATTTGTACCATATTCCCTAGAAGTGACTGATATTCACGTATCGGGCTCAGGGAGCATTAGTAACAATCAACTAATTTTCTATAAAAATTAAATGTCTTCGTAAGCAAGTGTTTCGACATACTGTAATATTCATAGATCTACAATCTATGCCGTTTGATAATTTTAATAATGTGGCTACCAATATTAGTTGGGAAGATATTTTTGACTGTCATTCTAGAGATGAGAAAGTATATATCCTAACTTCTCTTATTGCACAGCTTATTGATATTTTTGCCGCTATTAAAACTGTTTCTTTCGGACGCCCTTTGGCATCAAAGATAACAAAGAATGTTTGATGTGTGATAAGGAAATACAATCTTATGAAAAGAAGATGAAAAAATCTCACTCAACTCAGGAAAGAGAATATTGTAGAGCTAAATATCAAATGCTTTGACATGACACATTGCGTTTGTTACGCTCTGAAATAGTATAGTTTGAGTCATTATCATCCTTAAAATCAAATATTTTATGGAATAACATTATTAAGCTGGCTAATGTCCATCAATGTGACAATTTGGTTCCTACGACTCCTTTGCTTTCTGATCCTGATTCCATAAATAGCCACTTTGTTGATTGCATCCCTGATGCTCGTTGCTCAACTCAAGTCTTCGCTTCTCCAAGCGACCATGTGATTTTTTTTTATTTGTTCCATCTATTATGGAACACGTAAGGAGTGTTGAGTGCACTAGAATAATCCTCTGTTAATAAGAGCACTCTAGGTGCCGCTGTAATGTGATGTCATGTCAGTCATAGTCCAGTAAGTGAATCGTCAGCCATCTTTTAGCTATTTTGGTTCACACTTCTTCAATTTAATCCCTCATAGCTTAAAATGCATCCTTACAAATCATTTTGTAAAAAACTTTCTAATTTTATTAAAGTTAACTTTTAATCTTACTGCGGTGTTTCTTAATATATTACATTATTTTTGTAAACTTCTTAACGTAAATGTTTAGTATTACTTCAGTGTTTCCTGTTATATTATATTGTCTCATATTAGCTGCTACACAATTACAGTTGTATTGTACTTATGTTCCTATTTCAATTTATGACTCACATGTACTTACACTTACGCTTTCTTATGTTTTCTACTCATCCTTACCCTATTTATATGTAATGTTTATGACATTATGTATTTTTCTTGTGGTTAGTCTGAACAGCTGTAAGTTAATTACTGAGACTCGCCGTTGTAAATTTTTTCTGTGTAATAAAGTATTATTATTATTATTACTATTATTATTATTATTATTATTATTATTATTTTTTTTTATTAAAATATAATTCCATTTTTACCACTTCTATCATAAACATCTCTCAACTTCTACTTTTTAAATTGTTATCTACATATTGAGACAAGAACGCTTCAAAACTTGCACAGGTTTCATTTTTTTCGAACTCTCTAAATTTTCAAACATTGAAGAAGTTGGACGTAATGAAAAAATATGCGATTGTAGCACTGAAATATTATAGCACTAGTTATAAATTATTGTAACGCTTTCTAGTCACTCTCGTACGAACATGTAAGTTATCATTACCTAGTGAGAAAATACAGTAAATTCAGCACAACGCAGAAGTGATAGATTAAAGAATGTGGCGAGACTTTCTGTGGGCAATACAAGCTCTAAGGTCTCCTTTCGAAATTTGTTAAACATCGTGTCGTCTTCTGACTTTATCCATTTCATTCCCAACTCTGTTAGCAACATGGAAAACATAATATCTCGACCCCCGAAATGTGTAATCTCTCTTCTATCAAGCAACATATTCTGTTCACGAGGAATGTATTCGTATCTTAAACCCTTCAATTGTTTAACATCACTAGTCAGTGGCACTTTTCTGGTGTGTTCATTAAGTTGTCCTTCACAAAAATCCGACAGCCATAAGGACTCAATTAGCCATTCGTTCTCCAGCGAATCGTACGTATCCGAGAGCGCCACATACGGAGTATATTTCTCCGGGAACAGTTGAATAACTCGGGTTGTGCCGAGTACGTAGAAAAATGCTTTATGCACATTCTGGATCGTGTCCGTAGTCAAACCGAGGGTGCTCGTGTACACGATGATGAAAATTCCCAGAGGATTAGTTCTTGGTATTCTCGCGAAGGAGCGGCTGATCAGCCAAGGATCGAAATCCCTAGCTTCGATAGACACCACGTGGACATATCCTCGCGAAGTGTGGTTGAATGCCGTCATAACTGGAACGTGCGCAGCCTGCACTAGAGCTGTGATACTCCACGGGCGAGGCAGTTCTACAGCTGCCAAGACTGTTGCCTGTGGAGAATGGAACATTAAATATTAGGACAGTTGCAAATAAATGGCTTAAATGAGGGTGGAACTGCAGAAAGTCTCACAAATTGCGTGTTTATATTAGTGTGATCACTATTAAGTTTTATTAAGACTGCTACTTGGATAAATACAGAGTTGACACTCAGTTGATCGAATAATGAAATTTTGTCGTAGCCACGCTTTGTATAGCAATGATATTACACACAGATAAATGATGTTTATTGCAAAATAATACGTAAAGAAAAGAAAACTCGCTGTACTACAGAGTGGCTCGGACTCTCTCGTAGTAAAGTTTTCTAATTTCTTTGTTGAGAGCTAGCTTTAATGTCTTGCCACATCCTCTTGTTAGCTGCCATTAATCGCCTCTCTTAATATATTGTTTTTAAGTTTTCTCAATTTTTCGGTTTCCTAATAGTATATACAAAATATTACTTTGAGAATATTAAAGACCAGTAAAACCTCGTCCTTAATGGAAATTTTCATTCATAAATTTGAAGCTTTTTTAAAAATATGACGTGTAAGTGTAAGCGTATATTCGAAATTTGAAGCTCATGAATCTTTCGAGTTTCCGAAAACCTTCATTTGAGCTTTTCTCTAACACTTTAGCACTTTCTCTCACAAATGTAATAATGTATAAAAATCGCAGGAAATGTGCATATTAACAGCTTAAGAGATATTTCAAATAATTTCAATTAAAAATAATTTTTGGAAAAAAATTAAATTTACTTCACAGTGCAAATAGCACTATCCGCCCGAAACGTTCAAATAAAAAAATGGATCTGCTCTCAAACAAACGCTTTCGATGTAATTAAACAGTGTTGGTTGTCAGAATGTGTAGGCTTAGTCACTTTTACCAGATCACTCAAATGCGAGCTTAACCTTAGTAAGTTATTAAAAACATTAGTATTTAATTTCTATGTATTTATAATGATCTTAGGAATTTAAAAAGACTACATTTGAGAGACCATTTTAAAATCTCGTAGGTCTGTTACTACTTGCCTGAGAAAAATAATTCATATATCAAATTTGTATGATGTCTTCCATGACATCTAGTCTAGCTGCAAAATTACGGTTCTAGATAGCAGAAACTTTAACTATTGACGGGAAAGTTGTACAGTGCAAAGTGTGCATCAACTTGTGCTCTCCAAATGGTTTTTAAGACGTTTATATTGTTTTTACTATTTGTTGATATTTTTTTATAAATGTAATTTCGTATTATGTAAATGTGTTTTAGAGTGAATTTTAACATATTTTGTATCTGAGTTTACATATTTATTATATATTCATATTTATGTTCTGTTTTCATTACAGATTTATGTACATATTTTGACATTTCATTCTACATATTTTTTGGTCTCTACTAATCACCAACTATCACTTCAAAACAAAAATCAGGGTCTGTTCGGTGTTGGTGTTTCAATGCTTGACAAGTTTCAACTCGATTCTCTTTTAGCTGTCATTTAGAACCTGAACAAATGTTGCTCTCCCCCCTCTTGTCCCCAAATGTTGTGAGAAAATTTGCTGACCGAACCTCCATGTGATTCGAGATAACATACTTATCTCCTCAATGGTCCGTCGTCGGTCTTCATGAACGACTGCGTAGACGTTTTCGTGATTTTCATTAATCGTGAAACCGTTCTGACTGATGCCTAGAACGAGGCTTGTCATCAAGTGACACTTCAACTTCTTTGATACAAGAATACCATTCATACACTTGCGTTTTTCCCATATCACTGTCCTTGTAAACCGTTTTTCTCATATTACAAAAGTTTCTGCTATGTTTTTCCAAGCAAGAAGCGAAATTTCAGAACTGTTCACTTAAATCCACCAAGACAAATTCGAGGAGCAAGCGAAATTGCTTTCACACAACAAATTACTGAAACAACAATACCTAACCATACGACAACCATAACGGCACTGAAAATATCTAAGTACGGAATAGTTAACTATTCAGCTTTACCATATCTCAGTTAACTTTCCAATCTCGTCCAAAAAGACTGACATCTTATATTTTATATTTGATTCATCACCTGCAGAGGTCTAGGCTCATTCAAACATGTTTGAAGAGTTGTGAGTGCATTCTTGTAGTATCCAATATAATGGTGCATAATCTTCATACTTCGTACCATTATTCTTGCTGGCGAGCGCCAAGACATCGATTCTACCGCCATTATGAAGAGAAGCATGGAAATGAGACAGATCCTGCGACAGAGAGGGTACACTGATCAGATGATAAGTGCGGATGCGACATCGCTGTCAATGCTTTGAAAACACCGATGATTTTATAGAAACACCGATGTTTTAAACTTTGATGTATTGAAGTCGTGTTCAAAATTTGAAGCAATATTCTACATACACTTAAGGTTGAACCTCTATGTTTTGTGCATAATGTTTTTAGGTTTTCGATGATTTGTTTGGGGATGAATTTGCATTTTTACTATTTTGTAAAAGTTAAGATATGAAGAAATAATAACTGATGGTCCCACTGTCTGTTTATACAGTCTAATGAAACGATCACGTTTTTTACCGTCTTCATCATTCAAACTATCCCTCGCTCGAGATTATCCAAATATCCTGGTATTTCCTTCGCCTTCCCACGGAGGTGTTGTAGAACTTTGTTTTCAGTTATATTTTAATTATAAATTAATATACATGGTCACTGTCGTTTTTGGGCCAGAATTTAATATTTAACGTTACTAAAGGAGTGTAGCGTCACGGCTTGGCAGCAGCCGAGTGCAAGGTAGAGGGGGATCTGGGGGATCTAAAGATAGAACAAAGAAGGGACCTTCCGACAGGAAATAGTCCGCGGGCCAGGCAGCGCCAGGGAAAGGCTTTCCACCGCGCGGGGGTGGGGAGTAGTGACGTAGGAGGTCAGGTGACCTGGACCTATAAAGACGCCGTGGCGAGACGGCGCGAGTGGGTAACGTTTTGGTTTCCTCGTGGCTAGACCACAAAAACTTTGTCCGCCCAGGCTGGTGCGGAGTGCCGAGGGCACGTGGTTGTTCGACGAGTTCGGACAGGGTGATGTGTTCTTCAAACACATTCGGGCAGATCGTCAATCTGCCGGGGCACACCAGGTGCCAATCTACGACGCGGCCTTGCCGGCTGGTGGTAGGCATCGCCGCAAGGCGCATGTAGGGAGAGGAGGGCTGCAGTGGTAGCTCTGGCAAACCGCCTTAGAGTGAGGGTTGTAAATATGTACAGTGTGTAAATAAAACTTGTATATACTCACTCGTGTCTGTTTCCTTGTGGTGTAGATCCCTACACACGACGTTACAGGAGCATCAAATCATCAATGTTTAAGAACATCGATGATTTTTGGGCGATATATTCTTAACTTCGATTGTTTTAATTTTAAACATCGATGTTTTGCTATCGACGTCGCATTACTAACGGTCAGAAGTGCCTCCACAAAAAACGACGATGTTTTAAACCCTCATTCTGAGCAGATTATTTGTCAAAATCTTTGAAGCTCCGTAATTATACTCCCTTTCTACGTAATGAAAGAACTAGTACTAGTTTTCCAATTTAGTCAGATTGTATTTAATACAGGCCGACTATTTTGAGAAATCATAGACAGAAAAGTAAATAATAATCTTAGGTTTCTAATTTCTTTGCCCTGGGCTAGTTTTTCGGTCTTGTCCCATCCTCTTGCTAGGTGCCATCTATGGCCATCCAAATTACATTTTTTATACTGTTAGTTTTCCTCATTGTAGAACCGAAATATTACTTAAAGAATATTATAGAAGAGTAAAACCTCGTTCTAAGTTGATATTTTCAATGAAAATTTTGAAGCCGTTTTTAGAAATTGTTTGAGAGTAACTGTAAATGTGACATTTGAAGTTCTTTTACACAGAAAATTTAGAGTTTTTGAGAAACTTCAGAAGAAATTATTTGAAGTAATTGTATTCACAAATGTAATAATGTATACAAATCACTGTAAATGTGAATATTAGCAGCATGAGAAACACATTAAAAAATACATTTCCGTAATTAAAAAAAGGATGCAGCAAAATGACTAAATGCTAATATCTTCCACGCCATTAATATTTGAATTACTTCATTTCTTATGCATTACATATAAGTACAATTGCTTCAAATCATTTCGGATGAAGTTTTCCTAAATCTCTTGACGTTTGGGTAAAATTGGCTCCAAAATGCCCACTTTCAGAAACGTTCCAACATTATTTTGTAAAAGCGGTTCCAAGTGTTTCAATGAACGTGGAAAAAAATTATTTTAGGTGTTAAACGATAACAGACGTAGCCACGGTATTTCCAGACGGTCATGAAACAAACAAAATGTACTTCACAGATTACGCTCATTAAAAACATATAATCAATGAACGAATGGGACAAAATTATGAAAGAATAATTATTACTACTTTTCATGCAATCATGTTAATATTTACAGTACATTAAGTTAAATTAGAAACTGTTACCCTTGTCATACTTCGGATCAATCATCCTAACCCAAAAGTCGCTTTATATTAAACAGATATGGTTACTTCATCTATTGGAACGTGACGGGGTAGGAAGAGTTGTTGTTTTTGAAAAACTCCTTTATATTTTACAAAATGAAGTATATTGTTTATAATTTAAAATATGGATATTCTCCTTTACACACCACGTCTTCTACATAAACAAGTATGACTATAAACATGTTAGGGTGACACTAGCTGATTTATGGACGAACATAAAATATTTAACATGAATAGTGTTACGTTTAAAACATTTGGTCTTAGAAAATTACAAATATAAAATATTAAATCGTCAGTTGTATTTACCTACTCTGAAAAGTACACCAGCAACACGTCTGAGTCAGAGCTGAATCGTCTTTCTTCTTTCCAACATTAACACTTATTATTTATATTGCAAGGTCTTCTAAAATAGGTCTCGTTCACAATCACTATGGCGTTATCAAATACATACATCAAATGGTAAAGGTATGATTGAATTCCTCAAAATTGAAATGATTCTTTAACGGA